TTTTTTTTCTTTTTTCACATAAACATGTTTAGGTAAATTAATTAGTATCAAAATATGGAAATGAGGAAGAAAAATAACAAATATTATACGGAGAAGGATCATACATTTTTCAATAAAAATGCAAATTTAAATATAAAATACCATATTTTTATTAACATTTTTTTAGAGTATGGAATTTAAGTTTGAAGGTATGCACACCACTAGAAAAATATGACTATTTAAGCTTGTATAACAAACAATGCTCTTACTAACAAAGATACCTCTTCTTATTCTATAAATAAATTCAACCAGAAAGTGCAGTAAGAACAAGGAAAATAACAAGGCATGTCATATGATATATAAAACAAATAAAAAAATTCTAATTCTGAAAATTGAAACCTCACTCTAATTTCATTAATTTGAATCCTTCTTCTTTCTTCTTCTTCATGCCAAACATCATCTTATCTTCTCCTTTTTTTTGCTGGAAAGTAACCATATATTCATTCGCACCACATTTTACTCTACAACATTAAATATTTATTTTTTGTTCATTTTAATTTCAAATAAATTATAATCATATGTATATTGAATCTTATAGAATTTTTTACAATCTTATGTAAATTCTAAAATTATGTATAGAAAATTTAAAATAATATTACTAGAATATAAATAAAGTATGTATTGAAATAATTTGAATCCTAACCACAAATAACTACTCCAAATTAATATATATACTCTGGTTTAGAATTAAATAAAAGTATTTACTAATACAACAATAATCTATATGAAAAATTATAGCAATATTGTATTATTGTCATATTTTTATTAGTATATATTTTATCAAACTATTATAGTAAAATACATCCTAACACAATAAATTTGTTTGTAACTATTAGATGAGTCCGCCATTGGTCTGGGATATAGAAAAGCTGCACCAGAAGAAAACATGCCCTTCAAATTGTAATATTTAATAAAATTAAAAAACAACTCCTAATTATAAAATTTAAAGCTCAAAGTAAACAATAAGATTGTAATATTTAATAAAATTAAAAAATAACTCATTATTACGGGACCGTAATATTTCTATTATTTATACTCTGGTTTAGAATTAAATAAAAGTATTTCTATTAGTAATATTGTATTATTGTCATATTTTTATTAGTATATATTTTATCAAACTATTAGATGGGTTTTAAGTGACTGAATTGTAAAATTTAAAATTCAAAAATAAATGAAACACATGAAACCGTAGCATTTCTATTAATTATAAAACACGAAATTATTCATTACATACTTTTGCCCAATCACTTCGCGGTTTGGGCGAGTATAGTATAACCAAGTCGTGTGTAAGACTTTATCATATAAACATACAAATAAACTGTACTATTCACCTGTTATTTCGCACAATTTAGCATCTAAGGGAGAGAGAGGAAAGAAAAAGAACAAATTAAGGGGCAAACAATTATTTCTATATATTGTCAAAGAAAAGAAAAAAAGAAAATTACATTTTATAACTAATGAAATTAAACTTCACTAGGACATGCATACCTAATATCAAAACTAATCTAATATGCAAAATAAATTTAAAAAAAAAATGGCGGGAAAAAACAACGATTGAGCTTCTAGCCACGAAAGGCAGACGACAAAACGAAATACGCCAAAACGAAAGGAAAAACATAGTAAGACGATGCGAAAGTCACAGAAGGCGATGCAGCCGATCGGCGAGGTGGCGGGAAACTGCATATTGCACCGGGCGGGCAGATGGCGGGCGGCAGCAAACCGCATAAAACACCGGGTGGGCAGATGCCGGGCGGAGGCTGATCTTTGCAATGCTTTTTATGATGAGGTGGCGGAGGCGGGCAGAGGTTCGGGTCAGGGTCCGAACAATGTTCCTTATGGTGTTCGGGCAACAAAGGCATTCCCGTATTTGCTGCAAAAGCGGAGTTCGAAAGAATTAGTGAGAAGAGAAAGTACAAAATTGGCGCCATCTATGGAGTAATTTTTGTTTTGTTCTGTTTTGTTTTGTTTTCGAAATTATTGTGAAGATGAGTGAATGAATCTCTATTTATAGGGTAAAGGAATAAGAGAATGAAATAAATAGGATAAAAATTGGAAGGAAATATTTTTGCTTGTGCATGAGATTTTTGTTAGCAATATTAAAGATTGCTATTTCATTACGTATGGCAATTGGTTCAATATTTTTCTGCGTGGTTGATTTTATTAACTTATGCATGAGATTTATGTAGCTTTTATGCCGGTAATAAATTTGAAATTTTAGACTTTGTAAATATTAAATTAAATATAAGTGAATCGATTCGCATATATAGTTCATATATTTTGAAGATTTTATTATTGATGTGCCACGATTTGCTTATTAATTGTTTCATTATGTCAAATTACTTGGATATAAAAATAGTATATATTGACCTAATATTGATAATTTGAAATCTTAACCACTCACAACTCCTTTAATGAATTAATACATATACACTAGTTTAATTAAACACAGTATTTACTAATACATTATAAAAAAAAATTACAGTAACCTATGTTAAAAAGTATGGTACTTAACTACTTTTCCTCCTCATCCCACAATCCCCTAAAACATGGGGAGTCGAAGTGGAAAACCTCAAATTTTTGTTTTCCTTCCCTGTAAGACCAATACTGAGAAAGATAATAATAATAATAATAATAAGTTAATAACAATAATAATAATAATGATAATGAGCGACACTCCTATTTTGTCTCATGATTTGTTGTTGTCCCTCCATATCCAGATTCCAGCGTTTCCTTCTCTCATATTGTTCTATTCCTCCGTAACTAGGAGATGAGTTGGCAGTTTCAATAAACAAATAATGGAAAACTCAGCACCGTGGTGGCTAATCTCCGGCCGCCGGCGGGTGCCGGTGTTCCTCCTGGTTCCTCTCATTCTCTGCCTCATCTCAATCTCCTCCATGGGAGCCAGAGTCAACGCCCCAGCCAAATCCGACTCCTTCTCCCCACCCGACAACTACCTCCTCGACTGCGGCAGCATTGGGCCCACCACAGTCCCCGGGGACCGCATCTTCCTCAGCGATCAGGACACAGGCAAGTACCTTTCCTACAACGGCCGTGATGTCCAGGTCTCTGAGGCAAACCCCAAGGACCTCCCATCCCCGATTTATGCGTCAGCAAACATCTTCGAGAGCGCAGCCACTTACACCTTCCATGTCACCCGGCCTGGCTGGCACTGGATCCGGCTCCACTTCGCCCCGATCCAGAACGACCAGCACGATCTCAAGGCTGCCAGATTCAAGGTCAGCACAAGCAACGACCTCGTCCTCATCCAGGAGTTCCAGATGAGCCCTGAGAATGCAACCACCTCATTGAATGAGTACCTTGTCAACGTCACCACCGAGAGGTACTCTCTCACCTTCCAGCCTGCTCAAGGCAGCGTGGCTTACATCAGCGCGATCGAGTTCGTGTCTGCGCCCGATATTTTGATAGGTGACATCGCCTCATCCCTTTTTCCCAAAGCTGATTATTCGGGCCTCCTCAATATTGCATATCAGACGGTTTACCGTGTCAATGTTGGTGGGCCTTTGATTACGGCCCAAAACGATACCTTGGGGAGGACGTGGGTCTCAGACACGCCGTACCTCGACCCCAAGGTTGCCGGCAACCAGGTCTCGGTGGCGCCCAACGTGATCACCTATCCAGACGGCGAGTCGCCGCTGATTGCGCCACCGGTGGTCTACGCGACCGCCATGCAGATGGCGGATGCCAATGTGGAGGTGAGCAACGAAGATTTTTTTTTTTGTCAATTTGTTTGTTTTGCTATCTATAGAATAAAATAAAATAATGTTTCAAGTGTTAAAACACATGATAATTATTAGATTTGTTTAAACTGATGAGTTAAAATTTAAGCAGTTTAAATTTATTTACAGGTCCCAAGTTTCAACATCACCTGGAAACTGAACATAGACTCCTCATTCCAGTACCTGGTCCGCCTCCATTTTGCAGACATCGTGAGCAAGTCCCCAAACGACCTTTACTTCAACGTCTACATCAATGGCAAGTCGGCCATCACGGGGCTCGACCTCTCCACCGCGGCAGATGGACTCACCTCCGCCTACTTTGCTGACTTTGTCCTCAACTCCAGCATGGGCCTTCTCGACCCCCTCATAGTCCAGGTGGGCCCCATGTCCAATGAGAACGCGGGCACTAAAAATGCCCTCCTCAACGGCCTCGAGGTACTCAAAATGAATAACTCCGTGGGCAGCCTCGATGGGGAATTTGGGGTGGATGGCCAGCGCGAGGCCTCAGCCGCCAACGGGACGGTGGCTGCAGTGGGCTTCGCCATGATGTTCGGGGCCTTTGTTGGGCTGGGCGCCATGGCCATGAAGTGGAAGAAACGACCCCAAGATTGGCACAAGAGCAAGAGTTTCTCTTCATGGCTCCTCCCCATCCACGCGGGTGACACAAGCAGCTTCATGAGCAAAACCTCCCTCAAATCTCAAGGGTTCTCGTCCACCATGGGCATGGGCCTCGGTCGCTACTTCTCGCTCTCCGAGCTCGAGGATGCCACCGGAAACTGGGACCCTACCCACATCATCGGCATTGGTGGCTTCGGCAACGTGTACATCGGCGAGATCGACGACGATTGCCAGAAGGTGGCCGTCAAGCGGGGGAATCCCCAGTCAGAGCAAGGGATTAATGAGTTCCAGACCGAGATCCAAATATTATCTAAGCTCAGGCATCGCCACCTCGTGTCCCTCATTGGCTACTGTGACGAGAACTCAGAGATGATCCTTGTGTACGAGTTCATGGCCAATGGCCCATTCCGTGACCACCTGTATGGAAAGAACCTGCCCCACCTCACCTGGAAGCAGAGACTGGAGATCTGCATCGGTTCTGCCC